GAATTCACTCACATCTTAATTCGTTGGATTATCTGTTTAAAAGTAAACATTTTGATTTAAAATATTTCACTGAAGTATTTTGTTTTTTAACTTTCGTTTTCAATTCTTTTAAAAGGGTAGAATTCTCTTTATTTGAGATTATTCTAATTAGAATTTACTTCGTTTTTTACTTGCTTTGAGGAAGGGCCAGAGTTTTCGGGTGAACTACTATAATTTAAATACATTGAAATGGTTCATCGGCTAATTCTGGATACAGAAAAGCATGGATTTTTGTAAATGAGAGATTTCAATTAATTTCAATGTTCCTCCCCACCCCCCGATGACGTGGCATTGAATTTCTCTTCTGTTTTTGTTAATTTTTCTTTAAATTTCATTAATTTTTTAGGAACTACTCTTATATGCGCCCTCAAGTCGCCAAACATTTTTGGCGAGAAACTCCACGATGCCATATTACTATCTAAATTTTTTGTTTACATTTCGAATTTTAAGCCTAAAATGTATCCAAAAACGAGGTTTTCGCACATGCAAAAAGCACGTTTTGAACACACAATTTAAGCTAAAAATCCGAAACAAAAACAAAAAATTTAGATAGAAAAAACGTAAAGTTTCTAACCAAAGATATTTGACAAGAATCCATGCATACAGCGATATGTTTTAACTTTAACAAACATCTACGAATTGCACAATCTAGGCAGCGAAAGAATCTACGAACTACGCACACCTCGCATTAATAAATTTCAAAGAATACCATGTACACAGCGTTCTGTTTCAACTTCTATAAATTTCAAAGAATACCATGTACACAGCGTTCTGTTTCAACTTTAAAAAACATCTATGAATTGCACAATCTAGGCACTACGCACTAATCAGCAAAATAAACTAAAATAAATTTCAAACAATACAAAAAAACAACAATAACGACAGAAATTCATACTAAAATACAATGAACATAACATTTTACAAAATAAGAATAAAATAAAATGCACTTACTGTCTGTCTACGGTAAGAATAGCTCCCGCCACGGTGTCTGGCGAGTGGCGGTCACTATAGCAACAGGGCTAGTATATTTCAAATAGGGACGAACCAAGGGTTGCTTTATTGTTATTTTGTTTTTGGCGACTGTTGGCTTAAGGGAAGTTTATCATTCGTCTTCTCGGCTTCATTCCAGCTGCACGCATCTTTTCTTAAGCCTTATATTATTACTATTAGCTATTTTTATTCTCGTTGGTATATCTTTTGTGCTAGCATTTGCTCAAATTCGCTTCTATTTAGCTTGATTTTCGTAGTAGTGCTTTGTTAATCGCCAATTTTTTAAAAATGCCCTTCCAGTTTTTAAGAAAGGTCAAACTTTAAAGTCTCAGTCACGTCAAATCGTGTATAATGTCGCAGAATTTTACGCTTCTGAAGCTTCGGCGAACTCTTTAGTAGTTCCTTTTCCTTAAGTTTTGAAGAGCGAAGTATCAACAATGGGTGAAAATAAACTTCTGAATACACTTGGAAAGAAATGTAAAAGCCCTGCTAATCATAAGTGTGAAATTGACGATTTTGACAAATGCGTTCTACTGCAGACAATACAAGACTTTTACATCAAAGAAAAGAAAGTGCCATCTGTGCGGAAATTACTGCCTGTCTTGAGGCAAAAAATAGACTTCCCGTGGCAAAAAGACTCTTTGTGCAAAGTTTTGTGTTCAATGAATTTTCGTTGGAATGCGTAGGAAAAAAAAAAAAAATTCTTATCGAAAGACCTCACATTGTATTTTGGAGGAACAATTATTTACGCGAAATGAGAAAAACTCAGAGCAAGTGAACGCCACATCGTTTACACATCGATGAAACATGGATTGACAGCAATTTTAGCTTTTAAGAAATGTTGGCAACATGATACGGTTTTGGGCGCCTCAGCCAGTTTCCCTTAGCAAGCCCTCCATGAAGCATACCTCCTCTTAGGCATTTAGCCCTGGGGGCTTTCCGTAATCATATAAACCAACCCAAACCACTGGTAATTAAGGAAAAAGCAGTTTTGATTTTAATTCACCTTCGCTTCCTTCCGCCATTAAATTAACCAGCTTTTGGTTTAGTTTAAAGGTATGGGAAAAGAAGAAATGTTCGCAAAAAGTATTTATTGAGAGCATGGGTATGTAAAAAAACGCTTTTACTTTCAAGATGATTCCACATACATTTAATGATGAAATTTTTAGTCATTATTAAAGCACAAGCAATAAATTAACAGAAAATTTTGAAATAAAAACATAGCAGAACGTCATTTAAAGACTGAAGAAATTGCTTTGAATGTTTACGGTAGATCAGCTAGAGGGGAGAACTATAAAAATTAAATTTATTTTATATTTATGAAGTGCGTCTGTACTATATTACAGAGAATGGTGCAATCAAGTAGATTTCTAAGATGTCATCTATGATTTTGCAAGCAAACAAATAAACAAAAAAAGAAGCAAAATAATAGCATGATTTTTTTAAATGTCAAAATTAAAATTTTTCTTCAAAAATAAACACGGATTTTTAAATTTATTTTCCCTACAAGTTTATTTTTACTCATTGTACATCTAGAGGGATGGCAAATTCAGCGACTTGTACCTCACACGGCAAAATCAAAGACCGTTTCTTGACTGCAAAAGCTTTATCTATGCCATCGAATTTTCATTTTCGGAAATTGGATGTCGGGGTCGACGCAAAGGGTCAATGATAATTTTACTTGAAACTAAAACAAAATGTGAATATCGCCAAATCATCTTTAAATGCGCCAAGGTGGCAAACTCAGAAGTAAGTCTTCAAGACACCCCTATGAAAAATGGGTTAGGGCTCGTTTCTACGGCAACAGACAGCTGCAGACAAACTGGCGAGAGCTGTTCTTAATATAGACAGACAGTACCATGAATGAATGCTTTTTTGAACAGCAGAAATGCCAATTTCATGCCGCCACGTAATCACTATCGTATTTATATGACAGCCAGACACACTATCCAGAAAATTCATACTATGGTTCACAAATAAATGTTCAAAACCTTCTTTTCCTAAATCCTTGTAAGATTTCCAGGCATCCGAAAAAATAGTAAGGCTCAATCCACTCTTTAATACACTGCATCAGCGTTTCCTTACTTCTATCATGCACAGCCACTAAAAACAATCTCCCAGACCCTCTTGCAACCACGTCTCTCATTGCAACATACGCCATTTCAAAATACGCACGACACCGACACGAACCAACGAGCAATTAAACCAATCTAGGAAAGGAGTATTCAACGTCAAAAAGGTTGCCATACAACACGCAATCGCGCCAACCAGCGCAGAACACATATCGCCACATTTGGTGATCTTAGGGCCCTTATAAGAGTAGAGCCTTTTTTAAAGTGGGGTCTTGCTTGTTTGAAGTGTTTTGGTTTTAACATTTTTAAATTCTTTGTTGCATTTATATGATTATTTTAAATTTATTAATTTTGAATTTCAATTTCTGGTCGTTGTGAAATATTAGTTCTAAATATCTTACTTTGTCTTTAATGATAATTTTTCTGCATCTTAATGCGCGAAATTACTAGGCATGTTTGTATTTTGTTTTCAAAAAATTGTTTTGTAATTATGCAAACATATGTTACGGCCAAAGCCCGAAGTCGGCCAGTTCCCGAATTGGCCGACTAAATCGCGAAACAGCCAATATCGTCTCACAATGACCGGCCAATGTCCGATCTTTCCTTGATTTCGGGGTTTGGCTAGCCAGTTCGCGAAATGGCATGGGGCGATCGGCCAAAGTCAGAAGAAAAAGGTCATGAGCAAATTTTGGGTGTTTGTATACCGTAATGCTAATGATAATCACATTATAGCTGCCACAGAGGAGTTTTCCGACGAATCCACCCCTCTTAGGCGCATAGGATCGTCCTTCGGAACAAAGGCCAAGGAGGTACGGTGGCCCTGGGTGGGCTGTAGTCTGAAGGAAGAAGTTTTAGTGAGTAAGGATCTCACAGTACCAGAAACCTCCTGGTCTCTTATGAAAATTTCCTCTTCTTTGGAGAAAACAAACAAAAAGATAATCACATTATCTACTGAATTAGTTTATTAAAAAAAATTATCAGTATTATCACTTGTTACAACAAGATGAACTTTTGCAGATATTTCGAATTTACACAGCCGTTTGTTATTTTTACATCTGCAGCGATTTGTTGGCTTAGTGTAGCAACTGCATCGAGTGTAGCCTCAGCCGCCGGTCAGGGATTGTGAAGAGGCAACGGTTCGTAGTGATTTTTCCTCTCTGCCCACGGATGCCAGTGTAAATAGTTTCTCTTGCAAAATGGAAAACTCACTTCTGGAATACACTTGTTTGAGAACACCATGCTCTGTTCCTAGCTTGTAGAAAGCACCCTCGATGTTCATGACAACTGCAAGGATGCTTCGTGGATCACCGCGACCTCTGTCAACATCTGGTATGCGGATGCGTACATTATCTCCAACTTTCGCTGGTGGAAATTTTGCATCTGAATTTTTTAGCATCTTGACACCTTGAGTTTGTAAGCTAGCATGGGCAGCTGACCTCTTATTCGTGATTTCTTGTTTATTATGACACAGTCTACAGGTAATTTTTCCTCCTTCGTCTGCTTCATTACTTATTCCCCAAACTGCGTGCACAACCTTTCCGCAGGATCCACAAGAATGGGCTGAACTACACTCTTGTTGACATACTGCACAGAATTTGTTCGCATTTTTATTGTCAGACAACTGATCTGGACTTTCCGATGTGTCCGTCGCCACTGCAGCTGGTTCGTTTGCGGAGAAAGTCGCTGTATTTACAGCATCATCCATTTCTTGTTCGACGTTCTCGAGATCTTCGTCTGTAACTAAGTTATCGATAACCTCTATGGGCAGATTTGATGTGCTCAGTCTCACTTTTGCTTTGCAGCCAAACATAGCCTCATAAGGTGACTGCTGAATTCCTTGATGAAAAGCGGTTTTTCATGAACTGAATGAATCTGAGACTCTCGGCCCAATGTGTAGATTTATTTGTCATCATCGTATTCTGAACATCTTGGTTTGGCACGTTCTACTGGACCTTGGCTTTGGCTATTCCTCGGTTTTCCATGAACTAGTTTCAATTCAGGCCGCATGTTCTTGAGTTCATTAATAACTTGATTCGCAAATTCTGTTCCATTATCTGATTGAAGCACGCTTGGTGCACTTATGGTGGTGAAGACATCCAGTAGCTGGTAAGCAACTTCTGCTCTTTTGCTTTTCAGAGCTCGCAATAATATGAACTTTGTTAAGTGATCCTGGTAATTGAGTATAAACTTGAATTCGCCGTCTGGGTTACTTTGCATGTCGATAAGATCTACCTGGCATCTTGAGTTAAATTCTTTAAATATCAAAGGTTTAGAAACTAGAACTCTCTTAGGATTAGATAATTTGGTCTGACACGGTTTGCATAAGCGGAGATACAATGTAATGATTTCCTTGGTGACATTTTTGTACTTAGTTTGCAGCTCCTTCTCCATCCGTATGCTATCTCCATGTCCAATTTTCAAGTGAATATCATGTAGCGAGTCGAATAACTCTTCTGTGTGCACATAGTACAAAATAACGCTATTGTCTTCTGTTACTGGCACAATAAGTTTTTCTTTTCCGTCAACCTCAATAACATCATATTTTCCTAGTCGACGATAGTCAACACTTTCTTTTTTCTGCTTTGCTTTATCCATTTTAATGTCCTCTATGAAAGTACAGTACTTGTCTCTGCTGAGGATCCAGCTATTATCTGCTTTTTCTTGTAGCAATGTATTCAATTTACTTACAGGACTTTTGTGACTACTTTTGATATAAGAACAGGGTTCTCATATCAGAAGTTGGTTCCCCATTTGCATGTGCGTCATCTTAGCCCAGCATACTAGTTTCGTCAGGAGAAGCCATAGGAAAAAAAAACCTATAGAAAACAATACGATACTCTCAAATCACGCGGCGAAATCCCTTTTGTGGTTTAGCAGTTAATGTACATGTAAAAATAAGTTTTAGGTGAAACTAAAGAATCTAACATAAATAAGAAGCACCTATTCAATCAATACTTACCAAAACATTAGTACCAAAACTTTTTTCAGGTGTAAATAAAGGTTTTCAATATATATTGCTTGAAATTAGCTCATTAAACAGTATTATAGTGCTTACATTTAAGAAACAAATTTAATAGATTTATAGTTGATATTTATAGGATAGGTATATAGTTGATATTTATAGATTTATAGGATGTTCTCAAATGGGAACATTGGCCCTTCCCATGACTATTTGAGGCATATGTTTAAAGATAGAGAAATTATTTTTTCAGCACAAAATATTTAATTAGTTATTAATTACTTTAGAAAATACACATTTTGAATTTAGATATCTATTCTTTTTCACAGAAAATTTTCCTGAACAATCAAATTTTACTTATTAATTAAAAAAAATTACACGACATAACACATCTATTATTGCGGAAAATATTTTTTTGCATATCTTGTGAATAAACAAAATAAGATCAGCACTCCAATTTTATTTCAAAAAATCATTTGATGTGTTAAAGTATTTGTTAAGTTCAATTAATAAATTTAAACTTTCGGTATTTTTTTAAATATCATGTTCCTAATTTGGGAACAATGATCCGTAAAGTTTTAAGAAGCATCTGAGCACAAGATTCTTTGTTTGCTTTTAGTTGTTTTTATATCAAGAACATTTTCAAATCTTTTATATTTAAATGACTCTTTTTTTTTTTTTTTTTTTTAAATCGAAATTTTCATATGATTGAAGTAAAATTGGATTTATGGACGGTTGAACAGTACTTTGCAACTGAGCACCACTAATGGCACTGAGGTACCTTCTAATGGCAATGAGCACCACTCAGTGCCATTAGAAGTTTGAGTTAGGAAAAATTATTCGAAAAATTGTAGTTGCTGTGCTTGGAAAGCATGTACAAATTCTTGAAACTGAGTTTGATTCATAGTATAACAAAAAACAAACGAATATTGGAAGGGCTTACCTATCCGGGGAAAGCACACTAACCCGCAATCGAAGCTATTCAGTTGGCGGGCCCGTAAACAATAACGCGTTGCCAGATTCGTTAATTCGATACATGGATGCCAGATACCCTGAAAATACAGCTCATCGAACATTGGCCAGGGAGTTTCGGGCACTTCGGCAAGTGGCCGGCCAAAGTCGCATATACGCTATTCATTTCCAGTACATCAGACATTGGCCACACGCCCCGGCCAATGTGCGAAATGGCCGGCCAATTCGGGAACTGGCCGAACTTCGGGCTTTGGTCGTAATATATATCTTGAAATTCAGCATTAAAATTAACAAACAATTCAGCAATAAACTTATATGTTACAAGGTATTTCTCCCGCCTTCCCAGCGTGCCTTCGTGGTGTAGTGGTTCTGCACGCTGGGCCGGTATTCCAGAGGTCTGCGGTTCGATTCCCGGCGAAGGCTTTTGCTAATTTTCAATCTCTCTTGCTTCCAAAAAATCCTGTGTCTACAGTGGCGCCCGAACTAAAAGGGTTGTGGATGATGACTCTCCACACCCACGATTTGGCGATTGGGTCCCCTAAATACCCCAGTCGCCCTTTAAAAAGGGGGAGTATATGAGGTATTTCTCCCGCTTTCCTAGCGTGCCTTCGTGGTGTAGTGGTTCTGCACGCTTAGCCGGTATTCCAGAGGTCCGTGGTTCGATTTCCGGCGAAGGCGGTTGCTAATTTTTCATCTTGCCTGCTTTCCAATTACTAATGTCTCTACAATATATATGTTGAAATTCAGTAATAAAATTTATAGCAACACACACACATATATATATAGAGAGAGATATTGATAAGAAAAAGAGAGGTAAAAAAATAACTAAAGCCGTAAAGAACATTTGAATTACCTAATTCCTGATATTACATGTAAAACAAAGTTAAAACAATAAAATCTAAGTTAAAGTAACTGTACGCGAAAAAAACCTACATATTATACAAAAAAATTAGAAAACCTATACAACAAAATCAAAATTAGTACGCTTAAAAACCTTAACAATTTACAAAATACTGAGAAAATTTACATATAAAAACATGGTCAATCAACTCTGTTCAAGGCTTTAAACATAACTTATCAAGGGAAAAGTTCCTGAAGCGCTCAACCAGGTTGATGACCCACAAAAACAAAACAGGCACTTTCGTCGAACAAACCCATTGAGACTGAAAAACGGCTTTCCTAGTTATTAAAAATTTTTCATCTATTACTAACGATGTCTCAATAGGTTTGTCCCTTTTCCCGACGTACCTGCGTGTTTTAAAACATAAAAGTGAACTATGTAAACTTGGTTTTCTTTCTTTGTAATTTTAATAACTGCTTAGCTATGGGCAAACGTTTTGATAAAACTCGTATAATAGGAACACAAACCCAAAAATGGGACCAACTTCTATGTTGCCTTAGGTGGACGGTAATTTTATATTGCAACTATTCTGGAGTCTTCTTTCTCGATTCTCTTCTGAGATATTGTTACGGTTTTCTCTTCTGAAACCAGTTGTTAGGTTATTTTCTTCCTTCACGTTCGTACGGATTTGGAGTGAATAATGACGACCTACTTGATGAAGTATCGAAACACACTTTATTAGCCAGTATTGTCAGGAAAGCTCCAAAACACGTTTTACAGTCGTCGATGAACTACTATAAACACGCTGACACGATCAGCGACACAGCCTTCAGGTTATCAGGCTATTACGGTGGAGACAGCTTCACTGCAAGCACCAGAGTACAGCTCCTGACTCTGCTTGGTCGTTCTAGGAACTTCACGTGCTCTCGAGATTCTCCACGCTACAACTCGCGATGCACTCGACGACACACAGAGCACAGCTCCCGACTCTTCGGTTCAGTCGTTCCCGGAGCTCAACACGCTCTCTCGACGATGCACTAACCGCGATACACTACGAGACGCTTTCGGTGCACTCGACGACCCACTCGGCACTCGCTGCCGGGCTCAAAATTTCGCACCGGCGTAACAAGTAAAAGTGGGCAGAAATACGCAAAGCTGAAGAATTACAATTTTATCAGAGCTACCGACATCTAGTAACGTGGCTTCGAGTGGCAGATGCACGCTGTATCTTACAATGCAAAACCCTCGACTTAAATACTTTCAAACTGATGTGCATTCTGGTAAGGAAACAGAAAGAAGAAGTCATAGTAAAGCTGAGATTATAAATACCTGGTGAATTAAAAGAATAATAATCCTACAAGGTCCTTACCCACTATATGAAAAGAATAAAAATGGATATTTACTTGTGATCATCGATCATTCTTAGAAGTAGGTAGAAAAAATGCCTCACAGAAGGGTGTCCACGAAAATTTTTGCAGATTCATTTTCAAATAAAGTTATAGTAAGGAGACAATATTATACCCAGTGGCGTAGCGAGGGGGGTCAAGGGGGTGTATGATGCCCCGGGCGCCGAGGGAAGTCTCCAAGCAAGATTTTCCGAAATTTTCAGTTTTTATTTTGATCGATTTCTGGAAAATATATTGAAAATTAATAATTATTGTAATATAATTAATTACTTATTTTCTTGATTTTGTCTGATAAAATGTGTAATAAAATGTTTGCAGTACACCAGCCAAACATCTCCGCATACAAAACGTTCTCTCTGACCACTTTATTTCTCTAAAATAAAGATATATTTTTATTTTTTTAAACGAAATGCACATATAGATCCCGCTTTTTGTTTTAAAACGATAACACGACTTTGTCCCGAATTTTTCAAACATATCCAGTTTCCAAAAACCAATTCCATAGTTTGTAAATGACATTTTGGGAAACTCCTAACGGTTTCGCTACAATGGATTGCGTTTGATTCTCCTGTAAACGCCTGATGGCCTTCCTGGCTACCGATTCAACTAAGTCATCAGGCTGAGACATCGTATATTGACTGCTTCAAAGCATTCAATGCGTGTCAGTTGTTTTTAATCTCCTACTACAAAAGGAATGCTGCAGGTCGCTCCTTATTTAAAACGCATAGTTTTCGACGTTACAGACTAAATTTGCATATTCCCAACTTGTAAACTCTATAATTTTCCTGTATAATCTCTTCTATTTCATTTTGTTAAAAAGGCTGTCGATTGTATGATTATTTCATACCGAACTCACAATATCTCTAATTGTTTTGAACAGTTTATGTGACTGCAAGATGTTACTCCGTAGTAGAAAAGAAACTGAACCTAAAACTCCATTACGGATCTATGGAGAAAATATTTTTCCAAGCCTAAGAGTAGCACTTCAACTACTCCTTACTATTTCATTATCAAATGCTAGCTATGAATGTTCGTTCAGCAAATTAAAATTAATTTGGACATATTTACAATCAACGATGGGACAAGATCCCCTAAGTCATCTAGCATTTTTAAATGTGGAAAGAGAAAAATTTGAAATGATAGACTTTGATAAAGTAATTCATAAATTTGCTTTTCCAAGGCAAGATAAATGTATACATGGTAATTTATATTAATGTATTGTAATATTAAATTATTATTAATAAATATATCTACTTATCTATAATATATATTAAACTTTTTATTGTTTAAAAATTGTACTTTTTTAAAAACAATTATATAAATATGTAAAATAAATAATACCTTTTTAATTAATTCTAGATCATCGTATGTCTGATTTTTCTGCCGAAACAGATACATTTCCGAATCCAATGCTAGT